CAAATATTGACTTTGGTTCGGGGCGAGTCTGGGGTTCAGTATTTGTATGGAATACTTTGCATTGGAAAAACAAATTGAAAGGCACTTCACAAATTTGGAATGGAATGGTACGATATTTCAGTCCCAGGGCGTACAAACACTTCAAAACGATGCTGACCTTCATTTCTGAATTTTGACCAAACAGGACAAAATTTTACCCTGTGGGATAGATTATCCTGTGGTGTTAAGAGATTTCATTTTCTTGTTACCAGTGGCTTTGTCTTTTTTATCGTAACAGAAGCAAATCCTCACAGAGTAAATTGTGAGTGGCATTTTTCAGTCATTCATTTCTTCCATTGTTCACCCTGCCATTATGTCAGACTTCCCGTTCTATCAGAAGCAACAAGAAAAGTTGAATAAGGAAGAACTACACGATATGTGCACTTTATGTACTTATTGACAAGTAAAAAATAGACGTATGCCTGCTTGCGATAATTGAAAAAGATTTCTTCTCTGTCTAAAATTCAAATGTCTGGTACTTTGTATTCTTTAAATCTACTGAAACCAAGATGCCCTACTTCTGTGAAGACCGTCTGGACTAGTGTGGATATGGAGGCCCAAAAATAATAACAATATATAATTATGTCGTCAATATTCTTCAGTGGAGTTAGTATTCGATACGAAGTGCTTTCTTGTGGAGTTTGGAGGACTTCACAACTTGGCCCTCCATGTGCCATGGAAATGCCAGGATACTAGTGTTGGAGAACACATCCCTTGACAAAATACCTTACCAATTTATTATTTTTGCATTATTATTATTGGTTTATTATTATTAAACCAAGCAGTCCAGTGTAGAATGGCAACCCATTTGTACTAGATACATTTTATGGGGAAAAAAATTGTAATAAATAGTGCAAGTAATTAAAGGCTTAAAAATTGAATATGAAAATATAAACATAAACAATGAGCATTAAACAGAGCACTAAAATATGACAAAGGAAACAAGAGCAAGGATAAAAAGAGTCAGGAAAGACTACNAAAATATTGACTTTGGTTCGGGGCGAGTCTGGGGTTCAGTATTTGTATGGAATACTTTGCATTGGAAAAACAAATTGAAAGGCACTTCACAAATTTGGAATGGAATGGTACGACATTTCATTCCCAGGTGGTACAAACACTTCAAAACGATGCTGACCTTCATTTCTGAATTTTGACCAAACAGGGCAAAATTTTACCCAGTGGGATAGATTATCGTGTGGTGTTAAGAGATTTCATTTTCTTGTTACCAGTGGCTTTGTCTTTTTTATCGTAACAGAAGCAAATCCTCACACAGTAAATTGTGAGTGGCATTTTTCAGTCATTCATTTCTTCCATTGTTCACACTTCCATTATGTCAGACTTCCCGTTCTATCAGAAGCAACAAGAAAAGTTGAATAAGGAAAAACTACACGATGTGTATGTGTACGTAGCACACAAATAATACAGTACTTAACAAATAAAAAATAGACATACATCAGCACTAAAATATGACAAAGGAAACAAGAGCAAGCATAAAAAGAGTCAGGAAAGACT